GCTCACTGATGGCTCTTCAGCAGCCAGGGCTTCCGAGCTTACTATGCTTTGCATTCAAAGTCTCCAACAACGAGGCAGAATATGAAGCCTTATTATCCGGCCTACGCCTTGCAGCTAACATGCAGGCGGGAAAGCTGAGGATCAAATGCGATTCGAGGCTCGTGGTCGGGCAAATCAACGGCTCCTGTGAAACTAAGGAGACCCGGATGAAAGAATATAAGGCTGCTGCACTGGAGCTCTTAGGGACCTTCCAGATGTACGAGATCCTGCAGATACCACGAGCCCAGAATCAAGAGGCTGACATTCTGTCTAAACTGAGCTCGGACACGCCTGAGTACATCTCCAAGATAGCTCAAGTGGAGGAACTGTCAACACCAAGCATACAGCAGACCCTCATACATCAGGTATAATCCATCCCGAGGGACTGGGCTACTGACCTAAAAGAATACATCGACAACGGGCAACTGCCCCAGGGTGAGGCCGAGGCCAGGCTTGTTAAGCTCTGAGCTCCGACCTACACCCTCCTGGATGGCGTCCTATGTAAAAGGTCCTATAACGGTACACTCCTACGCTGCCTCAATACCAGTGAGGCCAAGCTGACCATGGAAGAGGTACACACCGGGGTCTGCTCGGCACATCAGGGGCCTCACACGATATCCAGAAAGCTCTTATTGCAGGGGTATTTCTGGCCCACTATGGCGAAAGACTGCGCACAGATGGCACGCAACTGTGAGGCATGCCAACAATTCCAGAACGCCCCAGGACGTCCAGCGGTGAACTACGCCCCCATAAGCACAACAATCCCTTTTTCCAGATGGGGCGTAGACCTCGTGGGACAGCTCCCCCGAGGTACTGGCAACTGCAGATGGATCATAGTTGCCATCGACTATTTCACCAAATGGATAGAAGCGGAACCACTGACCAGCATAACCGAGGCGCAGTGTAGGAGGTTCGTCCACAAGAACATCCTCACTCGCTTCGGTGTGCCACATCATCTCATTACGGACAATGACACTCAATTCGAGGCCAAGAGTTTCCAAGACATGCTGGCCAGCTGGGGAATCAGACACACCACAGCCTCCGTCGCCTACCCACAGTGCAATGGACAGGTGGAAAATGCCAACCGCACAATCTTGGCAGGTCTAAAGAAGAAACTCTCAGACGAAGGCGGAGGCTGGGTGGAAGAGCTCCACAACATTCTGTGGGCCTACAGAACAACTCCCCGCAGGGCGACGGGTGAAACTCCATTTTCACTATGCTACGGCTTCGAAGTCAAAGCCCCTACGGAAGTCACAATTCCGACCCTGCGAGTCCTAGCATACGACCCCGAGCTGAACGAGCAAAACATGCAAGTCGATCTCAACTTCATTGACGAAAGAAGGGAGAACGCGTTCTTGAGGTCGGAAAACTACCGGCGCCAAATCAAAAGTTATTATGACGCCCGAGTCCGAGGTCGGGAGTTCCAAGTGGGGGACTACGTCCTCAGGCGACGGATGGCCAGTCAACCCAATGAGGGAGGAAAGATGGCCAAAAAATTTGAAGGGCCCTACATCATCACAGCTGTAGTCTGGCCTGGCACCTACAAACTAGGCACTCTAAAAGGCATCGAGATTCCGAGATTGTGGAATGTCCACCACCTGGTGAGGTACTACCAGTGACCTAACGCTGTAAAGGAGACGATGAGCCCTCGCTAAACGGAGACTTTGCACAATCACGGGCATTTGAAATCCGTGGTCACTGATAGCAGCCTCGGCCATACACTGTAAACTGTTTACGACCCCTATTGAAATTAATGGAGGGTGGTTTCAACACAAAACTCTCACTGGAAACAACTTATAAGCCTTCCAGTTTATACTCAAGTCAGGGCAAAATCAGTAAGACCTCGACGCTTCCAGGGACAATAGCCTCGGCGGCTCCCAAAATCTGAGGTCACTCTGTAAAACCTCGCGAAAACAGGCTCTTCAGCCGAGAACTCCAACAAGCCGAGGCAACTTTGTAAGCCCCTGCGAACAACAGACTCTTCGGTCTGCAATCAATCTGCGAGGCAACTTTGTAAGTCCTCCATTCTCCGGGAACAACAGCCTCAGCGGCTCCCGATCTCCGAGGCCACTTTGTAAGCCCTCCACAACCAAACAGGGATAATAGCCCCACGCGGCTCCCAAGAGAGAAGTCAAGACATCTATATAAGTCCTTGTTCCTTCCTCACCAAACAGGGATAATAGCCCCTTTTCCATCGCTTGCCATTATCCCAGTCCTTTACAATCTGCCGGTTATATTCTTCTGCGGCAGCGCACTGCTGGTGGCGTGAGGCTGAAGACGCAGGGCAATAGTGGTGGTGGTGGTCGGATATGTGGTGGTGGCTAACCTCGCTTTGATATCAGTTGTTAAGGTTAAGCGCGCGCGCACACGATATGAAAAACTAGAAAGGAGCAAGAAGAAAGGCACACAAATTTAATATGGTCATCTACTGACCTAATCCACGGGGAAACAAGGGCTTTATTTCTTATTGAGATGATGAGTGATACAAGTCAACGTTTATAAGTACATGAGTCAATATATATATACACATATATATATATATATGCTATCTTATGTTAGTTTACTAGCTTAGATAGTTATTTTGGACACATGTATTTTGTTACTTTTGGATGATTTTTTAATATATACTTACATTTCATCCAATATGTATGTATGTATGTATGTATGTATGTATGTATGTATGTATGTATGTATGTATGTATGTATGTATGTATGTATGTATGTATGTATGTATGTATGTATGTATGTATGTATGTATGTATGTATGTATGTATGTATGTATGTATGTATGTATGTATGTATGTATGTATGTATGTATGTATGTATGTATGTATGTATGTATGTATGTATGTATGTATGTATGTATGTATGTATGTATGTATGTATGTATGTATGTATGTATGTATGTATGTATGTATGTATGTATGTATGTATGTATGTATGTATGTATGTATGTATGTATGTATGTATGTATGTATGTATGTATGTATGTATGTATGTATGTATGTATGTATGTATGTATGTATGTATGTATGTATGTATGTATGTATGTATGTATGTATGTATGTATGTATGTATGTATGTATGTATGTATGTATGTATGTATGTATGTATGTATGTATGTATGTATGTATGTATGTATGTATGTATGTATGTATGTATGTATGTATGTATGTATGTATGTATGTATGTATGTATGTATGTATGTATGTATGTATGTATGTATGTATGTATGTATGTATGTATGTATGTATGTATGTATGTATGTATGTATGTATGTATGTATGTATGTATGTATGTATGTATGTATGTATGTATGTATGTATGTATGTATGTATGTATGTATGTATGTATGTATGTATGTATGTATGTATGTATGTATGTATGTATGTATGTATGTATGTATGTATGTATGTATGTATGTATGTATGTATGTATGTATGTATGTATGTATGTATGTATGTATGTATGTATGTATGTATGTATGTATGTATGTATGTATGTATGTATGTATGTATGTATGTATGTATGTATGTATGTATGTATGTATGTATGTATGTATGTATGTATGTATGTATGTATGTATGTATGTATGTATGTATGTATGTATGTATGTATGTATGTATGTATGTATGTATGTATGTATGTATGTATGTATGTATGTATGTATGTATGTATGTATGTATGTATGTATGTATGTATGTATGTATGTATGTATGTATGTATGTATGTATGTATGTATGTATGTATGTATGTATGTATGTATGTATGTATGTATGTATGTATGTATGTATGTATGTATGTATGTATGTATGTATGTATGTATGTATGTATGTATGTATGTATGTATGTATGTATGTATGTATGTATGTATGTATGTATGTATGTATGTATGTATGTATGTATGTATGTATGTATGTATGTATGTATGTATGTATGTATGTATGTATGTATGTATGTATGTATGTATGTATGTATGTATGTATGTATGTATGTATGTATGTATGTATGTATGTATGTATGTATGTATGTATGTATGTATGTATGTATGTATGTATGTATGTATGTATGTATGTATGTATGTATGTATGTATGTATGTATGTATGTATGTATGTATGTATGTATGTATGTATGTATGTATGTATGTATGTATGTATGTATGTATGTATGTATGTATGTATGTATGTATGTATGTATGTATGTATGTATGTATGTATGTATGTATGTATGTATGTATGTATGTATGTATGTATGTATGTATGTATGTATGTATGTATGTATGTATGTATGTATGTATGTATGTATGTATGTATGTATGTATGTATGTATGTATGTATGTATGTATGTATGTATGTATGTATGTATGTATGTATGTATGTATGTATGTATGTATGTATGTATGTATGTATGTATGTATGTATGTATGTATGTATGTATGTATGTATGTATGTATGTATGTATGTATGTATGTATGTATGTATGTATGTATGTATGTATGTATGTATGTATGTATGTATGTATGTATGTATGTATGTATGTATGTATGTATGTATGTATGTATGTATGTATGTATGTATGTATGTATGTATGTATGTATGTATGTATGTATGTATGTATGTATGTATGTATGTATGTATGTATGTATGTATGTATGTATGTATGTATGTATGTATGTATGTATGTATGTATGTATGTATGTATGTATGTATGTATGTATGTATGTATGTATGTATGTATGTATGTATGTATGTATGTATGTATGTATGTATGTATGTATGTATGTATGTATGTATGTATGTATGTATGTATGTATGTATGTATGTATGTATGCATGCATGCATGCATGCATGCATGCATGCATGCATGCATGCATGCACATGCATGCATGCATGCATGCATGGTATACCCCTATCCAATCCAAGAAGAAACATACCACTCTTGACTCCTCTATTCCGCGATTGTTTGAGTCTTCCTCTTCCCCTCCTTTCTTATTCTCCTCACCTCTCAAATCATTTAAAAGTGCATCAATCGGTCTTCTATAGACATTTTTGAACCACTGCAATCGTCCAATCGAAGCTCTCACATCTTATCTTCAATAGGTGTTACTCCCATTTTATGTCCGATTGTCTCATTCCTCAAGTAGTTTTTTCTAGTATGTCTGCACGTCCAATGCAACATGTGCATCTCAACCACAATAACCTTTTGAATGTGACATTGTTTCGTCGTCCATCACTCTATACAACAACAACACCCAAGCCTTAGTCTCAAAAGAATTGGGGTCGGCTAACATGAATCAATACATGATATCACCACCAAAAGGAAAAGAAAGAAAATAAAGATAAAAAAGATAAGCTATTATGAAAAAGATAATATTAAAAGAGATGAGTATACCCAAAAATGATAAAATAAAAAGGATAAAATAATGTTTATATATATATATAAGGATGTTAGGGACCCGGGCCTATTAGATACTAAGAATAAAGGACCGGGCCTATTAGAGTATTAATAAGAATAAAGTGTATAAGTTTAGTATAAATAGAAGATAGCAGGGAAGGGTTTAGTAGGCTGTTTTAGACTTTGTCATTTGGGACTTGGGAAGATCGAGAGCTAATCTCTTTCTTTGGGGTACTTTGGCTCATTTGGGGGCTTCGGCCATACTCTCTCTCTATCGTTGTTACAGATTCTGTTCATCTTCAATAAAATTCTCAAATTGTTCTTGTTAATTTCTCTGTAACTTTACTGCTAACCTGGAGGGCTGTATCATTGGTATCAGAGCCTTTGATGCTGTGAATGGTGGGAACAAGGAAGATGATGGAGGGATGAATAGCTGAAGTAGAAACGAAGTATGAAAACCTGATCGCGATGACGACGACGATGACGACGACGATGCAGGCTGGCATCGCGGACCTCCAAAACAGACATTCCGATCGATCCAGGAGTAGGTCGAATCGGTCGCATCATTCAACGACATCGCATCACCATAGACGTGTGAAGAATAGTGATAGTTCAGATGGATCAGACCACTCCGCTTCGCATAGCCATCGCGACTCACGCAGAAATCAGCGGCACCATCAACAGGTAGGTCGAAAAATTGACCTACCTATTTTCAATGGCGATGATGTGTTTGGATGGTTAGTACGGATGGACCGGTACTTCCGATTGAACAGGACAGACGAAGAAGATAAGATTGACGTTGCAGTCGTGGCCATGGAGGACCAGGCCTTGAGCTGGTTCCAATGGTGGGAACGACAAGCTCAACATCAAACTTGGAATGCTTTTACTACTGCTCTGTCCAAACGATTTCAACCAGAATTGGTGCAAGATCCTTTGGGACCACTACTCAGTTTGAAGCAGAAAGGAACGGTGAAAGAATACAGGGATAAATTTGAGACTGCCATTGTGTCCCAAGGCCACTTAACTGAAGAAGTCTTGAGAGGAATTTTTCTTAAGGGATTGAAAAGAGATATAAGAGCAGAATTGAAGTTACATCGTACTAGAACGTTGGCAGAAGTTATGGATACTGTGTCCGCGATTGAGAACAAGAATTCTGAAACCTTATTTGTGAAGAATAAGGATGAAGGAAAGAGGAAATGGCAGACTAAACCTATCATCCAGTCTTCAGGCCAGAAATGGGGAGATGAAAGCAGGAAGGAAGGTATCTAATGAGACAAGTCCCAGGCTATCCCAAGAAGAACTATTAAACAGAAGCAAGAAAGGACTCTGTTTTAAATGTGGTGAAAATTGGGGAAGAGGACATGTCTGCAAGATGAGGAACTATAAAATGATCCTAGTGGAGAATTCGGAGGGTGAAGCTGATTCTGAAGTTGAATCACTGGAATCTGGCAGGGATAAGACCACACCTCTAGAATTGAAGACCATGCAGTTTTCTTTAAGTGATGAGAAAGACATAACCCCTGTGAAAACCTTTAAGGTGAAGGGTAAACTGGAATGGAATGAAGGTGAAAACACTGTAAATGGATGGAGGTGCTACACACAATTTTATGTCACTAAGCTTGGTGGAAAAGTGGAGGATTCCTTATACTCCTTTTCAGGGGAATAGGGTGCAGTTAGGGAATGGAGAATGTATTCAAATCCGTGGCAGGTGTGCAGGTGTAGATCTGAATGTGCAAGGAATTGGTATTCATCAAACTTATTACTTATTGGAGCTGGGGAGCACGGATTTAGTCTTGGGAATGGACTGGCTAACAAGCTTGGGAGACACGGAGATTAACTTCCAAAGTCAGACCTTCAAATGGGAAGTACAAGGGCAGAAGGTGATTTTACAAGGAGATGACTCATCAAGTGAACAGGATGTTGAAGGAGGATATGTTCAAAAGCATGAAGTAGCTGTCCCTTGTGTTGCAGCAGGCTGCACCTTGGTCTTCCCAAAATCTGCAGGAATCAAAGTTTTGGATCAAATTTTCTGGCCTCTGTGGAACTATGCTATGAAATACATAGAGCGGAAGATGGAAGTAGTAAAGCAAAAGGTCCAGCAGACAAATTAGTATTGGAGAGGGTGGGGTGCTAGGATGAAAGAAAAGAATAAGGTTGTGGCTGTGTCCTATCACCCACCTTGGGGGGCTTTGGCTCATTTGGGGGCTTCGGCCATACTCTCTCTCTCTCTATCGTTGTTACAGATTCTGTTCATCTTCAATAAAATTCTCAAATTGTACTTGTTAATTTCTCTGTAACTTTACTGCTAACCTGGAGGACTCTATCAAAGGATGAAAGGATAAAAAATTTAAAAAAAACAAGAAATAAAATAAAATAAAATAAATAAGGGGAAAAGATAATACGAGATCACTCCTCCACACGAATACCCGTCCTCCACTTTGCTCTTTCCAAAGCCATACCCTCATCTAACCCAAGAAGAAGCATATCACTTCGGACTCCCCTAACCCACGTCTGTTTGGGCCTTCCTCTCCATCTCTTCCTTGCATCTTGTCCACACATCTCAACTCGTCTCACGCGTGCATCACTCGGTTTTCTACGCACATGACCAAATTGATGTTCGACAAAACTTACCCTTCAGTCTAGTATGCATATGTCTAGTCCTGTCAACGGGTCGGATACGGGCCGGAACTATAAATTCCATATTCATATTTGTTGAATTTTTTTTATCCAGATCCAGACCCATTTACCCTTCGGGTCTTAAACATATGTTCCAGATTTGGATCCGGCGGGTCTCGGATCCAGGCGGGATATACCCGCAAAAAAAACTAAATGACATATGCAAACCAATATATTTAATACTCCCTCTATTATATTTTGTAAGATATATTTCCTATTCACTTGGTCAACGCAAATCCATCTTAATCTCTTACTTTATATATCAATTTTTTTTTTATCAAATTTGATTTTGGTTTTTGCGACTTTGTAAAGCGTTTAATGTAGTTTCTGAATATGTAATTCTTTTTTTCTAAAAATAATTTGAGTGCCGACAGAGATCCGTTTGATTTATCATCGGTCAAACATCGTAAATCGTAAAATGCCTTACAATTCGGGACGGGGGGAGTAAATAACAAAAAAATGTTCGTGTTAGAAGAGATCATATATAAATAAGCGAAATGTTGTTCTATCCATTACTCCGTATGAACTATACAATAATATACATAGTATGTTATATGTATATTACTGAACTCATAGAGAACCTAGAGCAGTAACTCATTAGCAAAAATCCCATTATAGTCGGCCAACCACTAACTAAGCCTACAAATATTAAAACATTTTTTATGTTTGATTATTTCCCTTAATTTATGTTTAAATATTTCTATGTATATTGTGTATGTATATGTAAAAAATTATAACTATAATTATATCATCACGAGTCGGGTCTAAAACGGGCCGGAACTTAAAAATCCATATCCGACCCATTTTCTCTATCATGTAACGGGTTCGGATCCGAATCTGGGAAACGGTTCTAAATTTAGACCCATACCCTCAAAGAAAGTGCCGGATTCGGATCGGGTTCGGGTCTAGACCCGACCCATTGACAGGTCTACATACGTCAATCACACAGAAATCCTAATGCACTCTTCCATTTCATCCATCCTATTCCGATTTTGTGCATTAGTTCACTATTCTGAACTATGGAGCCCAACCAATGGAACATATCACTGATCGATATTTGCTTACCATTTAGGGGAATCTCACCGTTACCATTTCTTCTACCTCCACCAAACATGCACTCCATGTGCTCTATTTTGTGTCAACTCAGCCTGTTACTCTTGCTTTTCGAAGTTTGTCACCATATTTTCAACTTTGATTTAATACCCAATTGTGTCCATGAATCGATACAATATTGTCGGCAAACATCATGCGCCACAATGTATCTTCTTGAATAAACTTCGTAAGTTTACCTATCAACATCATCATCATCATTACCCTAGTGCCGCAAAGGCTCCCATCTACGGTAAGGTAAGGGGAGGTCGGATGTACGCAGTCTTACCCCTGTATTAAAACACAGAGAGACTGTTTCTGGATGATCTATAGTGAAATTCGCATCGAAAAATGCATAGAGTGACTTCTGCTTCATAACAAATAAGCGCATATAGTTTAGTAAAATATTTTGCTTTATTCCATCATATTCCTAAGCCAAAAAAATAGTGAGTGTTTGGCTCCATTGCAAATGATGGAATAAGAAAGAACTCAAAGCCGATCCTTGGTGCACTATGATAGTTATAGGGAACTAGGAAGTACAGAAATGGCAATGTGGTTCCCGTTTCCGTCCCAGAAACGTTTCAGAAACAGGAAATGCCCGGAAACATTTCTGAGCTATTGGGCCGGGTTGGGGAAACGTTTCCAAAACATGATTTGAGGCGGGCTGACGCGTTACTTCTATATTTAAAGGAAAACCTGGGTCGGTCAATCAGTCGCACTCCCCTTACCGACAAATTGAAAGTCTAAAACAATACCTGCCAGGAAGAAGAAAGTGACAAAGGGCGATTCAGATTTGAAGGTTGAAACAACATGCGACGCTCGCAGAATAGACAGAGAGTTTCGAGCATCGCCTGGAGTGTTGATATGTTGGATGGCTAAAGTTGGCGAGTGGCATCTGATGGTCTTCTAGACGGTGGGTATCTGGGTGAGGGCTTAGGTATGGAACATACATAAGTTACTAGTTCATCTAGCTATCGTGGGAGTGGGTCCGAGAGTTCTTCAACAGGTGTTGATAATACACCTTTGTGGAAATATGTTACCAAATTAGGTAAAAGTGCGGATACATGAGGTAAGGAGCTCACTTGCTTCAATTCTAAAACAAGAAATTGCTATATAAAAAAAGTCCAACCTAATGATTTGTGTGAGATGAAAAAGTTGGAAGAACTTGAAAAAATGAAAAACTGCTACACCTAAGGATGTTCCTTTACCTTTTGGCGGGGTCACAAATGGATTTTATAGGTAACTCTAGTTTACCCAATAAAAAAAATGCTAGCATGGGTACTTTGGAGAAAGTGTTTGATTTGGATGCTAGAGGGAAATTAGATGTAGAAGTTAGCAAGATGTTTTTTACAGGAGGGTTGCCATTTAATCTTGCTAGGGATCCATATTATTTGAGAGCCTATTCTTTTGCTGCCAATCACAATTTAGGAGGTTATGTCACCCGGTCTACACTAAATTGTGGAGCACTTTACTTATGTAATAAAAGAAGGCAAATGTTGAGAGGCAAAACCACCCAAAGCTAGTAAGCTACTTGACTGAAATGTGGAGTTACAAATGCGACTGATTGTTGGAGTTATCCTCATATAAGACCTATAATTAATTTTATGAGAACTTCTGGAAGTGATCCTATGTTTCTTAAAGCAGTGAATTGTATGAATGAATTTAAATCAAAAGAATTCATTGCCAACTTGATTAAAGAAGTCATTGATTTGACAGTTCATCAAAATGTGGTGCAGATGAACAATGATAATGCTTCAAATTGCAAAGGTGTGGGAGAAATAAATGAAGATATGTATTCCCACATTTATTGAACACCATGTGTAGTTCATACTTTAAATCTTTCCTTAAAGAACGTATGTGCCATAAAGAATGTGGAGAGCAACACATAAGTTTATGATTAATATCATTGGACCACTGAAATTCATGGTGATGCTATTCACATAAAGAATTTCTTCATGAATCATATTATGATGGTATCCATGTTCAACAAATTTATGTCCCTTAAATTACTTGATGTGATGGAAAACTTTTTTGCTTCTATAATTGTGATGCTTAGGTTTAAACTTATTAGACGTGGTCTTAAGGTAATGGTGTTGAGTGATGAGTGGATATCATTTCGTGAAGATGACCACAACAAAACAAGGTTTGTGTGGGAGAAGGTTTTAAGCGAGTATTGGTGCGATCAAATTGATTACATTTTTGCTTTCTCGGATTATATCTACAGTATGGTTCGAGCATGTGATACCGATTGGGCGTGTCTTCATTTGGTATATGAGATGTGGGTTTCAATGATTGAAAAAATGCGTGTCGAAATCTATAAGCATGAAGAAAAGTCTCTCGATTCATATAATGCTAATGCTTTCTTCAAAGTAGTATATGATATTCTTGTGCCACGTTACGGAAAGAGTTCAATACCACTTCACTACCTAGGCCATTCATTGAATCCAATGTATGTCATACCTTAAGATCATCATTAGTTACCATCATATGTTACTACCTCCGTCCCGCTAGAAGGTTCCCATAGCAAAACGGCACGGTTATTTAGGTGATAATTAAATAAAGTACTTCGGGTATATTTTGAGAAATAATTTTAATAGGTATATATTATAATGTGTTAGTATTGATAACTGTGATGTTATAAATGTATTATTTGTAATATTTAATGACTAATTTGTCACTTAAGATTGTGTTAGGGATTGGGCCTAATGGACTGTTAGGAATTGGGCCTAATAAACCCAGAATAATAATAAGTGTAATAGTTAGTATAAATAGACTAAACTGGGGAGAAGTCGAGTAGGCTGTTTTAGACTTTGACTTTGGGACTTTGGGAGATCGAGAACTATTCTCTTTCTTTGGGGGGCTTCGGCTCAATCTTGGGGGCTTCGGCCAGAACTTCTTGTTCATCTTCAATAAAATTCTCTTTGATTCTTAATAAATTTCTGTAAATTTTACTGTTTACCTGGTGGTTCCTATCAATTGGTATCAGAGCGTGTTCGATCCCTTGATGAGAATTACGCGCGCTAAAATGGAAGGCAGAATTAACGATGTGGAGCGGAATCAGAGAGAGATGGAGACGAGGACTGAGAGGCATCTGCAGGAAATACAGAATACGCTGTTGGAGAGAATGGCGGCGATGCAAACTGACATCGCAAGGTTGCAGGTCAATCGATCGGGACGGTCGGGGAGCCATTCACATCGATCGAGTACGTCGCATCGATCATCTCACCGGCATTATGCGAAGAATGACGATAGTTCAGAAAGTTCGGAGTATGAATCAAACCCTACAGCCTATCAACATGATTCCAGACATCGTCGAAGGCACAAATATCATCACCATTCGCCTCACCATCATCGTTCACTTCACCATCATCGTTCAACTCACCATCATAGTTCGCGACAAGCAACCAGCTCAGAAGGATCGGAAAACAATTCGGATTACTCTCCTCCACGTCGACATCAACACCGCGATCACCACAGGTATCATCGAAATCATCCTCCGATAGGAAGGAAAATCGAATTACCTCTTTTCAATGGGGAAGACGCAGCCGGATGGTTAGTCAGAATGAATCGCTACTTCCGCTTGAATAGGACTGAAGAAGAGGATAAGATTGACGTTGCAGTCGTGGCCATGGAAGATCAGGCCTTAAGCTGGTTTCAGTGGTGGGAAGGACAAGCATTGCAGCAGAATTGGAATACTTTTACTCAAGCTTTGACCAAGCGGTTTCAACCTGATCTGGTACAGGATCCGCTAGGACCTCTGTTTAGCCTGAAGCAGAAGGGAACAATTCAGGAGTACCGAGATAAATTTGAAAAGGCTATCACTTCACAAGGCCACTTAACGGAAGAAGTCTTGAGAGGAGCTTTTCTTATGGGATTGAGAAGAGATATAAGAGCAGAATTGAAGTTACATCGTACTAGAACGTTGGCAGAAGTTATGGATACTGCTTCCGCGATTGAGAACAAGAATTCTGAAACCTTGTTTGTGAAGAATAAAGAGGAGGAAAGGAAGAAAGTGCAGAATAAAAATCAGAACTGGGGAGATGGTTATAGAGGGAGTTCTAGCTACACAACCAAGAATCCATCTGGCAAATATTCAGTTGATGATATGAAGAAGGAGGAATCTTCAAACTCAGTTCAGCAGATTACAAACCCTAGATTATCACAGAATGAGCTGCAAGAAAGAAGTAGAAGAGGATTATGTTTTAAATGTGGTGAAAACTGGAACCGAGGTCACAATTGCAGGATGAAAAATTTCAAGATGGTGCCGAGGAGACAATCTGAAGGAGAGGAAGGATCTGAAAATGCATCTAGTGACTCAGAAGAAGAAAAAGGGGTTCATAAGGAACTCAAATCTATGCAGTTGTCAGACCCAAGTAAAGAAGGAAGCTATTCTATGAAGACTTTCCAGGTAAAAGGGGAATTGAAATGGTCAGAAAATGAGCAACAGGTGAATGTATCGATTGATAGTGGTGCTACCCACGACTTTATATCCCAACAACTTGTAGAAAGATGGCAGATACCTTTTCAAAGTATCAAGGGATATAAGGTACAGATAGGGAATGGAAAACTGATCTCCAACTATGGTAGATGTGAAGGGATGAAACTGAATGTGCAGGGCAATGAAATTCAACAGAATTTTTATATGTTGGAGCTTGGTGGGACTGACATGGTGCTAGGATTGGAATGGTTGACTAATCTAGGTGATATGGAAGTTAATTTCCAAAACCAGATCATAAAATGGAAGAAACAAGGGCTGAATCATGTTATTCAAGGTGATGGGTATTGGTTGTACTGTGAAGGACAAAGCACAAAGCAGATGCAAGAACAAAGAATTGAAGGCAGAAGGAATGAGTTTATAAAGGAGTACCCTGAAGTTTTCAAGTCAATTCGGGATAGAATGTCATGGCAGTTGTGTAATTCTGCTGTGAAATACATAGGAAAAAAAATGGAATCAGCCAAGCTAAGGGTCCAGAAATCATGCCAGTATTGGAAAGGAAGAAGTGCTAGGATGAAAGAAAAGATAAAGATTGTGGCTGTGTCCTATTACCCACCTTGAGGGCAAGGTGGATGTTTAGGGGGGAGTATGTTAGGGATTGGGCCTAATGGACTGTTAGGAATTGGGCCTAATAAACCCAGAATAATAATAAGTGTAATAGTTAGTATAAATAGACTAAACTGGGGAGAAGTCGAGTAGGCTGTTTTAGACTTTGACTTTGGGACTTTGGGAGATCGAGAACTATTCTCTTTCTTTGGGGGGCTTCGGCTCAATCTTGGGGGCTTCGGCCAGAACTTCTTGTTCATCTTCGATAAAATTCTCTTTGATTCTTAATAAATTTCTGTAAATTTTACTGTTTACCTGGTGGTTCCTATCAGATTGTTAATTGTTTCCTAAAATGGAAATGAGAACCTTCTAACGGGACATCCAAAAAAGGAAAGTGAGAACCTTCTAACGGGACGGAGGGAGTATTTTATTTAATTATTAAAGTTTGGGTTGTATTACTTTTGTAATAGGTTTTACATTGAGGTTTGGTTTGATGCGGATCTCGCTAGAGTTCCTCCTCATAGAGATGGTGAGATCTCTCAAGAGAGAATGAAATGGTTCGGATGGTTGTTTCCAGGTAGTGATGATTATGATATAGTTTTGGATGAGTTTGCTTCTTTTTCACTTAGGATGGGGCCTTTTGCAGTTATTACACCTCTTTCGGAGGGGAAATATGGATCTTAAAAGTTGGTGGGCTAACTTTGGTGCTCAAACACCAATCCTTCAATTGCTTGCTTGAGTTCTTGGCCAACCTACGTCTTCACCTTCTTGTGAACGTAATAGGAGTACTTACTCCTTTATCCATTCACTTAGGCAGAACAAGTTAACTCCTATGCATGCGGAGGATTTGGTACAACAACCTTCGCCTTTTGTCAAGGAATTCTGAGCGATACACAAAATACACAAATTAGAAGACTAATATGTGGGATGTTGGAAGAGATGAGTTTGGCAATTTGGAAGAAATGGGCTATTTGGCATTTGCTAATTTATCCTTAGATGAGCCAAAATTAGAGTGTGTTTATCATTGAATGTTGTCATTTTATTTAGAGAAAACAGACAAATAAGCCCTCGAACTATTTGCGTTTTTGCATTCAAGCCCCTGAACTGGAAGAAGTACAAATACACCCCTTAACTCATTGAAAACCAAGCAATCAGGTCTTTTACCCACTGGTGTCGTTAGTTTCTCATCTCCTTACTTGCACCAACAGGTAAAAAAGGACCTGATTGCTTGATTTTCAATGAGTTGAGGGGTATATTTGTAATTCTTCCGATTGCAAAAACGCAAATAGTTCGAGGGCTTATTTGCCTGTTTTCTCTTTTATTTATTATTATGTATGAAGAATGGATTATAACAAGGGCATATGTTTGATTTATTTGTTGGGTGTAAACATGACCTATATTAGTAAAATTTTAATTTTTAGTTCGACGTTTCCTTCTCGTACCTGTATTTTGAGTTTGGAGCTTCCCCGTCTGCATTTCCGTCCCTGTTTCCGTTTCCGTCTCGGTGCTACTTAGATAGCGAACCTTGCAATCTACACTAGTACAATTATATACATATCCATGATGATGTTGATATACTTATGTGATATGCCTTTTCTAGTTAAGGCCCACCAAAGGACTCTTTCGAGGTACCCTATCATCATGGTTGTCACGTGGTGAGGCGAGGTGGCCCACCTGCCTTATTGCCTAGGCAACAATTAAGTGACTAGTCACACCATATGTCCATATGTAAGTATATAACATAATATATTTAAGGCTAAAGGATCAAATAGGCCCCGTACTTGTCCAAAATGTTCAATTTACCCCCTTAACTAAAAAAAGATCCAATTGACACCCTGAACTCAACAAAAACATTCAAATTTAACATTTTGCAAGTCATGATCCGGTCACGGCCACGTGCATCCGAAGTGGCTACTAAAGGGTCAAATAAGCTCTTGAACCAGAACGAATCATTCAATTTACCCCTTCAACTCTTAAAAATGTCGAAATTTTGAAATAGATAAATAAAAAATACAAGTATAAAATAAAATGCACATCGAAAATATAAAAAAATATGAAATATTTATATCTTGCGGTCAATTCAAAATAAAAAATAAAATTAAAACTAAAAGAAATTAACTTTATTTTCATATTTTATAACAACTACGTATTCATATAAGAAATAAACAATGTATCTTTACCAACTATATTAAATTTTTTATTTTATATGTTATATTTAATGGTTTGTAATATAACACAAATTTTAAGTCTTTGGTTTGATAATTTATATGAACCATTATGTTTACATTATCCATTTGTATTTTTGTTCAAATTTTTTAGTTTATTTAAAAATATAATAAAAATATATTATCTTTATGTTACTATATATTTTTCAAAGTTACCAATTACCCATTTTTATATCTATAGTAATATAAAAGTTTAATCCGTATATAAAAATTAAAGTATAAAAATAGTAACTACATATTTATATTTTTCTTATATATTATGATGAGACATAAAATCGAACCGATTCTCTGAAATCTTCACACTTCTTTGGACCATTTGCTCATTCACTGTTCCCAAAATTTCATGGTGGGCCTAATAAGCGTGATCCCTCGGTGGTTCGCACATTATTTTACATCACCCTTATTTTGTGTGCGTCCCTTACCCCACCGTAGGTGGGAGCCTTTGTGGCACTGGGGTAACGATGATGATGACCCTTATTTTGTGTGTCATTATCAATACACCTTACATCTTCATCAAACATTTTGTGTGCAAAGCTTTGTTGGAGATCTCTTTCAAGCCCCCATTATTTTATATTGGGGGCTCCTTTAACTCGTCTTCTATACTTTTTACCTCGAAAATTAAGCACAAGCATGCTATGTTTGGTGACAACACTCTCACTCACGATAACCTGACAATCAGTTTAGCTAGTTTTCCAGGTAGTTCGTACTAAGTAGTAGTCAATTTGAGCACTATTAGCTCCATTTCTACTGGTCACATGGTGAGCGTTTCTTTTTTCTTGAACTAAGTGTTCATTATAACCTATTCATACGTTGAGACAAAATTCAAAATGTTTTTTCCCGCTTAGTGTTGGTAACTTTGAATTTTGTCTCAACGTATGAATAGGTAATATTTCTAAATGCCCATTGAGGTCGCCTCATATGGCCGGCTTCTATCCCTTTGGCAGTTGTCGTGATGCATAGTCACCACAGACGCGATCTCCCCTATAACCAATTTAACGCCAATAATGCGGTCGTTGTTCCTAAAGATTTCCACCACAACCTCAACACATAGTCACAGGCAACAATAATGTCTACTCCATTTCTTGTCTTCTCTCTCCTTGAATGCCACAAATCCAAACGTCTGGGATTAATCTGTCGTGTCTTCTCTCTACATGCACATACATTATGCTGATATTCCTCCTCATAACCTCGACTACCTCAGATGGTCTTTCTGTAAGAGACCAAACGTTGCATGTCCAAAGCGCAATCCAGAACTTCCCCATCTCTCAACACCACTTTGACCCCCATCACGCCCTCACATATTTGGAACCATCCCCTAGCATTGTGATGGCATGTCGCTTTCGGGTGATGACATAACAACCTTATCATTCTTATCACCGCACCCGGACCAGTGTAATGTAGCACGCTCTTGTATATATGACTCCACTCCGGGTAGGAGGATGTCGTGTCGCGTATGGGCAGCAACCTAGCTGTAATAATATAAATATTTCGATTCATTTCATGTGATCTGACTAAGTGACGCTAGCCGTCACATGCTTACCACAACACACTCCTTTATTTGGCTTAAGACAAGCATGATACCAAAAATGATCTCATGACGGAGTTAGTGAATTAATTTTAGTTCTGGTCCCATGAGTAGGTCATTCCTGTTTTTGGTCCTAACTTTCATTTTCCCACTTTTGGTCGTATGACTAGATTTTTTTTTCACATATGGTCATTGCGGTCATTTTGCGGTTAATTCCTATACAATTCCTGATTAATTTTACAGGCAAAGTGACTTGAAGTACCCTAACTGACAAAAAAGTTGTATCTTTGGGACCAAAAGTGGAACAATGAAAGTATAGGGACAAAACTATGAAAGATAATAGTCGTAGGATGAAAAACAGAAAGAATTCTTGGTTAATCAGCATTCTACAATGTACATTGTAATTCATTATGTTTAATTCATCGCTGTTAACCTGAACTTGCTGGTTTGCCTGTTCTTATGAAGAAATGGTTCCCGTGTGTGAAAGAACAATGCCTTTTAATGGCTACATATGTTGAACCACATCTTCACTCTCTAAAGACAAAAGTTCTTGAAACGTATGCAAGCTCCAAGGACGCAGTTACCCCACATGTACTCAAGGTTCAAGAAATTGCAAACCCCTATTTTCAGGTATTGAATTTGTGGTCAAAATGGCTCTACTACCCCCTCCCCACCCCCTAGATGGTGCTATATGTTTGATACTCAGGGACTATATCATTAATATTGCCAGCACATTCGGAAATTCAGCAAGCCATACATTGACCAGCTAGCCTCTACAACGAGACCTCACGTGGAAAAAGCACGTCTTGCTGCGAAACCGTACACAAAGAAGGCAGTTCATGTTTATAGAAAATTCCTAGAGTCTGCCACCACATACCACCATCAGGTAAATATGAAGCATCTTTCTTTTGGATCTCAATATTAAATGCAGAAAGCTAGTTCGCTAGTTGCGTACTTGCGTTACCAAATAGTTTAATTGAAGGAACCAGAACACCAGCGGTACCTCAGGGTATTGTATCCCGAGTTTAAGAGCACTGGTATATGTAGCCGAAGGAATTGCATATAGCGTGTATGTATCTTTGCAGTGCTAGTTACTGACCTATTGCTTCTCTACTATGCTAATTGTTATTGCCACCTGAAGCACATGTTGTTTCTGCAACTGTAGCTCTTCTCTGGGTAAATAGGATATTCCACTTTTGGTCTTTTGACTATAATGTTTTCTCTGGATTTTTCCCTCCTTAAAAACCAACCAAAATATAGTACCTAACACTATGTTTTCGCTAGGGCTTCAGTTATATGAGCATCAGTTTGAGGGATATAATTGGAAAAAATAACGTTTAGATGACGTTGTGAACGAACCAATAGCAGCTCACATGGGATTGAGATGAAGTCCAAACAAAAAGTGTATACTTTTAAAAGTGAATATTGAAATTCAAACCAGTAGAACATGAAGGAAACAAATATTTAGATGGCGTTGTGAACGAACCAATAACACCTCACATGGGATTGAGGTGAAGTCCAAACAAAAAGTGTATATTTTTAAAAGTGAATATTGAAATTCGAACCAGTAAAACATGAAGGAAACTAGTGCTGGCAGATTATGGTTGCAAGTACCTGAGGGCCAATCAAAATTCAAAAGACAAAAGAAATGTGATGGTAAGTGAAGATGTTTATCATTATATCCTTCAAATTGAGCATCAGAAAACCAAAACTTTAACGGAGGACTAAAAGAGTGGGAACTTTTTAAGATGTGAGTGTACTAAAAGCTGGTCGGTGTTAAAGATGATGTCGTATAATGCATGGAAACACAGAAAGCATAGGGACACGTGAAACAGGAAATGCCAACTTTCGGTAGAAAAACAAGTGCTTGTAGAGTTCATGATACACAAGGATACTCCAAGGAAAAACACTAAAGTTGAAGGGTCAAAAGTGGAATAATCTCTCTGCATTATGTCCCAACTCATCGAATGCACTCCATCTCTCTCTCCCCTAACAGTGAATAGCGCTGTAGAGAGGTGTCATGTGGCTCTTTTTATTGCTATTGTTATTGTGTCAATAGGGTTTAGTCTCTTTCACTTGAGGATTTCTTTGGTACAAGTGTAATTCAGAATAATAGGAGCGTAATTATGGCCACCAGTGTATGAGCAAATATTCCATTGATTCTGTAATGTGAAGCTTCAAAGCAATGTTCAAGACACACTGAAGAGACATGAACTCACGAGTCCTTTTGCGACAAAGGAGCTTATCTGGTTTGCTGTATGTATCGGTTTGCCACATCCAACACATTAGCTTTTACTTTCATCACTCTTATATGTTCTCAAGGCCCTCAGCCCTGTAGAATCATTGTGTTTATAGCTACGCCATGCTGATTTTTAAATTGTCGTAGGCCTCTGCTATGCTGGCTTTGCCAATCTTTCTTTTGTTCAAAGTTTTCTCTGCCATTTTCCGGTGAGCAATTCATTGTTAAGGTTTTTTGTGTACTTGTTGAATATTTTTTTGTAAGACTAAAGTAGACGTTTTCTTTTGTTATTTGAAAAATACCCATCTGCCCAGGGCTAAACCATCCAATAGAAGTGGTAGCACACACCGTTCCCGTCGTAGGGCAAAACGTGGACATCAATCAGAGAAATAAGGGAGTTGTTGGATGTTTGTTTGAAAGTCACATGTATGAGGTTTATTTATTATAGTACTTGTCTAATACTATATTTCTAATATGTAATGATTATTATCATACATATTTCCGAATTTTGTTTAAACCTCCCTGGTAACCTGGTTTAAGTTTTTTTAAATTATCATTTCTTGCAGACTTGCTTGAACCTTGAATACATATCCCATACATTTCCTGTTCGTCTGAACTTCCACCAGTGTCAATTGTCATTTCATCCATGAAGTGGCAGTTTGGTAACTTATTGAGTTTCATGCCATTGCTTCAACCACTCATGGAAGCACATGAGCGTCTCCAGAGATTATGCTCTCAATATCGTTTTATAATTGATTAGTCTGTTGTTGGATTCATTGAACTCTTGTTCCACATCAACCTTTGATACATTCATCAAACTCTTGGTTTCACTAAACTCTTGTTCTACCGCAACCTCTGAAACTAGCATTGACAATATTGTTTTGCCATTTTTTGATAAAATGCGAAACATTCCTTGTTTCTCTTTCCACCAGTGGAGAATGTCAAACTCCCCCTACTTCATACTTAACCAGAACTGTTACATATAAAGAAAGCTCATTAATTGAGCTTTGTGCAACATGAGTAGATTATTATTTTTCCAGAAAGATTAGATATTAGGCATGGCCTCGGTTCGGGCTGCCCGGCCCGGGACCGGCCCGACCCGCTACTGTGCGGGCCCGGCCCGGTTTTCCGGGTCCGGTTCGGGCCGGAGGCCCGGAGGTGGGGCGGTTCCGGGCTCGGTTCATGGGTTTGACGGCCCGGCCCGGCCGGTTCGGGCCCGGGTCCGGGCCAAATCTATTTTTTTTTTTAATTTTTTTCATTTTTTTGGGCTGCTGGGCTTGGGCTATCTGTTTAGGCCGGTTTGGGGGGGGGGGGGTTGGGGGGGGTGGGGGGGGGGGAGAAAGGAAAAAAAAAAAATTAAACCGGGTGGCCCGACCGGCCCGGCCCGGAACCGGACCCGGGACCGCCCTACCCCGGTTCGGGCTCGGGCCTGCTATTACTAAACCGAGGCCCGGTCGGGCCTAGGCCCGAGGCCTGAACCGGCCCGGTTCAGTCCACCACTATTAGATATTGTAGATTTAAAAAGAATAGAGAATAGGCACACTATTTAAGAAATTTGTGACTTTACCATCTTCTCCTTGTGAGATGGAGAAAGCGGCGGTGCGGAGTAATAATAGAACAAGTACAATTGTACAAAGAAGCTACATAGATAGTACAAACGTCCCATCCAACTTTCAAAAGCTACTTTTATACATTGGCAGTCCTAATAATCTTCATTCATCTTTGTGAAGAAGATGAGATGTGAAAAAAGTTGATGCCCGTGATTCGTGAAGATTAGGAAAGAGAGATGTGAAGTTGGATGTGGTAGATCCGTATATCAGAGACCGGTGAAGGAGAAACAAATGAGTTTTGAGTAGGGATATTAAGGTCATTGTAGGTATTCTTTTTTGTCTAAAAGAGTAATGTTGCAATTATTTTGAAACTGCCAAAAAAGGAAAGTGTTGCAATTAAAAAAATGGAGAAAGTATTATTCTAGATGAAAAAGTAGTCAGCTTCAGGGGAGGGAGTACGTTAGCATATCGTGCATGAGACTTGTTAAATAAATTATGGAACAGATTACTAATCTCGTTGAATTGCGTTTGAGGATTTATAGCATTGTCGTCGTAAATGAAGTATAAAAATACTCTAAAATTGTTTAAGAAGTAGCAAGTTTAAAATGAGGATCAAGAACCAGGGGCGGAACTAGTATAGGGCTTGGGGGCCCAAGTCCATGCAAATTATATATGTTAGGAGAGAAATGAGAATGAATTTGGATCGTTAGATTTGCTTTAAGTGAAATTCAATGTGCTTTAGATGAAATTGTAATGTGCATTATGCGAAATTGAAATGTGCAGCACAAAAGATATTGTGCATTAGGTGAAATTCTGCAGTGAGATTGAAATTGGAATGTGCACTAGGTAAAATTGAAATGTGTACAATAAAAGGTACGGCGTGATGTTATTTTTGTACCTTTTATTCCGCACATTTCAGTTTCACCTGATGCACACTTGAGTTTAAATTTTTTTTCTGCACATTTCAATATCATCTAATGCACACTTCAGTTTCATCAAATGCACAATTCAGTTTCACATAAGACAATTCAGCGAGTCCGTTCTTACTGGAACTGCTCCCTATATCACTGTTCTAAAAATCGTTCTAGGCCGACTAGTCCCTGTCTAGGCGCTAGGCGGTGGTCAGGCGCCCCGATTTTAGTCTAGGCGCTCCGCCTAATTCATTTGGCGCCTAGGTCAATCAGTCGACCGCCTAAGGCGCTTAGTTACCCGCCCAGAGCGCTTAATCGGCCGTCTCGGCGTCTAGATTCGTTGAAGATTTTATTTTGTGTTTTTATTTTAGTATTCTAAGAGATATATGTATCTTTAACTTTAACAACGTATACAAAGCTACTAGTCATAAATTAAAATAAAAACTATACATGTTTATATATAATCTTAAGTGTTATTGTTTTTTAATATAATTATTATTACATAATGATGTTAAGTGCGTAGGTATAATGTATTATTAAATGTGACAACTCTATCATTCATGCATGTTTTTTTCATTCATGCATGTTAATGTGTATGTGTATATTTTTTTTTATACACACACAAACACAACATTATTAATCATATTTGTGCAAAAATATCAATAAAATTATAATTATGTGTCTCCGACTAGCGCCTTTTCGAACATTGACACACACACACACACACGCACCCACAAACGCACCCACACACGCGCCCACACGCACGCGCGCGCGCGCACACACACACACATATATTCCTGTCCGGAATTTCCAGACCTAGTTAGTTAAATACGGTACGGGAATTAAACGAAGTTTAATACGTACGCGTTTTATTCGGTAACATGGATGAAAAAAACGGTCAAAAATTCGTTGAAAAAAACGTTGACTTTTAAAAAACGTGTAAATATGTATACATGTATAATACGTTATTTATTACAAAAATTCGGACGAAAAATACGGGTATTATTTTGAACATTTAAATGATATATTTCATAAATAACATATGTAGTAAAAAAGAAATAAAAGTACACACATATTCAAGTAGCAAATCTCATTACTACATACAAGAATAGTTTGTAATTGCATAAGTCGATGACAAAAATAAAAACAGTAATTAAGTCCAAGACATAATTTTGAAAAATAATGTCAAAAAATCATTATCTTTATATGATCATCAAATAACACTCAAGTTAAACTCATCATTTTAATTAAGATGACGGATGACATATGACAAAAGTTGTGTGATTGCTACACTTATTATTGTTTGTGTTAAACTTTATGGTAAAAAAACGGTAGGTTTAGAAAAATATTAATTAATTTTGATATGTTAGCTTGAAAAAACATCAGAAATCTTGTAGTATATTACTACCTAAGTTTTAGTATTTCAGGATGCTAGCTTTAGCCATCATGCAATTAATTTTAGTATTTAATAATTGCACAGTGACAATACAAAAACACGAGATCATGGGGGGGACGTTTTCATTTTTACTTTTACACTATTGTTGATCTTCTATGCATTTAGTGCATTCATTCAATTGGTCAATTCATGTTTATGTTTTTTTGTAAAATACGGGAAAAATACGTTTTATACGGGAAGTAGGAGTTTTTTTCCTTTTTAAACGGACCGACATTTCCCCCCTTTTTAAACGTGTTTTTTTGGTAAAAAAAAAACGGTACGTGTTTAAAACGCGTTTAAAACGGAAAAAAGCTAACTAGGTTTCCGGACAGGAACCCCCATACGGCCTCCTCCATTTGGGGGGCCTTTCCGGTGGTATTATTTGCTCAAATTTTTTGTGTATGTTCCTCATCAAGTCTAGTTCATCCATACCAAATTTCAGCAAAAAATTCAATCGGGAAGGTTGTCAAATGATTTTTGCAAGTTAACTGGTCCGGAATATGTATTTTCTGGACCAGTTAACTTGCAAAAATCATTTGACGACCTTCCCGATTGAAGTTTTTGCCCAAATTTGGTAAGGATGAACTAGACTTGATGAGGAACATACACAAAAAATTTGAATAAAAAATACTACCGGGAAGGCCCCCAAATGGAGGAGGCCGGACGGGGCTCCTGACAGGAAATTCCTGAACCTATTGTTAATGCTTCGAGTGGAGGTTTTTACTTGAATAGCTTGGGGTTTTCTAATATTTTTATGTCAGTTTCAAATAAAATTTGGATTATGTGGAATGCTTCAGCCTTTGATGTCATTTCAGTTGAGGACAAGGATCAATTTTTGGTGGTTAACGCTAAATTTATTCCTCTTGATTTCACCTTTACGTTCTTTCCCGTGTATGGAAAGCATACGCGTAATGAGAGGGAGCAGTTATGGGCTGGTTTGAGAAGCTTTGCACAGATAGTAAAGGGAGCATGGATTTTGGGAGGTGATTTTAACATTGTCGAGTCTATTGGAGTATAAGGGACCTTCAGGTCCTCGTTTGGGTGATATGCTAGATTTTCGGGAGTCTATTGAGGCGTGTGAGCTCATAAATATTCCAACGGTTGGGTCCACTTATACGTGGACTGGTAATAGGTCCAATGGGAGGATTTGGGAAAAATTGGATCGTTATCTTGTAAACCAAGTTTTTTTGGATGGCTTTGAAAACGTCAATACTCAACATTTGAGTAAGGCATCTTCGGATCATTGCCCTATCTTGCTTATCTGTGAGACATCATCGGTTAGGGGGCCATCTCAGTTTCGTTTCCAGAATATGTGGTTTACTAATGAGGACTTTCTCTCTTTTGTGAAAAGAAAATGGGATGAGTATCCGAGGATGGGGGGTATGCGGGGTATGTGTCTCAAGCTCAGGTCTCTCAAAGCTGAATTGAAAATATGGAATAAGGATGTTTTTGGAGATGTTTTTGGGGAAATTAACAAACTGGAGCAAGAAGCTTTACTGGCGGAGAAGGCTTTTGAGGAGGATCCTTCAGAGGAGTCTAGAGTGCGGTGCCACCTCAAACAGGCTCTGCTTCTTAAACGCATAAAGCAGAAGGATATCTATTGGAAAAAAAAGGCCAATATTAGGTGGATTAAGGATGGGGATGCTAATTCTAAATTCTTTCATGCTTCTGTGAAGGATAAGCGGAGGAAACAGTTTATTCGTGCAATTAAAAATGCTAATGGGGATTGGATATATGACACAAGAGAAATTGGGGAGGAGGCAGTGAGTTATTATAAAAATCTCTACTGCTTTGAACCCACCTCTTCTTTTGACAGGGCACTTCAATTCATTCCTGATATTGTGACGGAGGAGGACAATTTGGAGCTGCTTTATTTACCAAACGAACAGGAGGTTCGAGATGCGATTTGGGATCTTTGTGAGGATTCTGCTCCAGGTCCAGACGGGTTTGGAGGATCATTTTATAAAGGTTGTTGGGATATTATTAAGTTAGATGTCGTGCTAGCTGTTCAGGATTTTTTCTTGGGTTTTGCTATCCCTAAAGGGATTGGGAGTGTGAATATGGTTTTAATCCCTAAGAAAAAAAAACCTACATCTTTCGGGGATTTT